TATATATATATGTATATGTATGTATATATATATATGCATGCATACCTCAATAGAGAAAGGGGGAAAGTACAAGGCAATTAGAATTTGAGGTAATTTTGGAGAAAGATGATGTAAATGAAGAATAAGATTGGAGAAAAAAAGGCAAGGAACACTGAAGTGAAAGGGGTAAGTAACAAATCCCTGTCATTAAACAGAAAACTGTGTGATTGGGGACCACATTAGAATTGAAAATGCATTAAAAAAAGTTATAACACGTAAAAAAATCCAAGGTTGAAAATTAGTTTATGTTTTAAAAAAAGTGTTAAAATGACGTATAGATGCTTATCTTCACTACACATTTTCTCTGAAGACCAAACACTTCAGAAAAGCAATCAAGTTCAATCAGCAACTGCACTTTTTTCAATTCTAGAAAACCTTTGCTTAGAAGTTTTTACTTCTCAGTTTGATTTGAAAAAAGCCCCTCAGATGTGAAGCAAAAAGTCATAAAAAGTCCTTTTACTTTTGATTGAATACGATTCTCATGCCTTGGAGGACTGTGAATCCTCCATGGCATATTGAAAGCTGGAAAAAAATAAAATAATAATAATATGTGTAACTAATTCCATTTTTTTCTCCAGACTTGAATAACTTTTCAGGTAAGCAGATTTCCGGGCATCCTGATTATTTTTTCTTTCTTTTTTATGTAAAACACAACACATTAATCCATTTTTCAGGCCTGGGAGGCTTGCAATAATTGGGTTAATTAATAGCCAAGCATTTTTTGATGGCTGCATATCACTCACCAATTTAGTTCAGGTCAAAGGATGCCTTTTGCTTTAATTAAAAAAAGTGAGTGTGTATTTTCCTAAAAAGAGGAAACAGTTGGAGTCGTCATCCTCACACACAAACACATTTGTCTGTTCATACACTCCAGCTGTGTTCATATTTACACAAAGCAGTCTCTGAGTAAAATCAGCAGGCCACCAATCAGCACTTCAAGCCTCTGGACATGATTGTCATGCAGCAGAGTGACTGGTAGTTATAAAGCTCAATTTCACCTTATTAGGAATGATTTCTTCAACACTGCAGCCCTGTTTCAATGCACCGTTTAGATCTGCAATCAAAGAGCTGTAAGGAATGGGCAGTCCCCCAGCTGTGGGAAGGCAGGAGAGGTAAGCTACTGCAGACTTTCAAACAATAACTTTTCTCTAAAATAATTGCCCCATAATGACAGTCATCCAAGGCTTTATGTAAAAAGAATGAGTCACTTTTCTAAGCTTTGTGAAGAATGGCCAAGAGATAACTTTTTTATTGTTATTATTTTTCCTCAGGCAAACTGTTGGAGTTCATTCCAAATCAATACAGAGAAAGTTGGACCTGATTATAAAAAAGTGCATCCCATTGGATTTTGCTTTCAGCATTGTCTGAAAAGATTGTTTCTTTCAAGAAGAATCAAAATGTTTGTTTATTCGGTTAAGGAAGACAGAGGAAATTGGATGATCAAATCAACTATCGGTTCAGTTTGCTGTAAAATATGCATTAAGGGCTAAAATGTGGCTCAGTTGGTAGAGCTGTTGCCTCCGAGCAAGAAGGTTGCTGGACCGATTCACAGCCAGGGGCTTTTCTGGTAGAACTTGCATGTTCTCTCCGGGCACTCAGGTTTCCTCTTACAGACCAAACACATGAATCTTAGGCTATTTGGAAAAATCTAAATTGTCCCTCAATGAGAGTAAATAGAATATGTGTCTCTGTATTTTAAAAATAAAGCCTTGAAGCACATCAAGTTTATCAATGTCAAGTACTTGCCACAATTATTTACAATTAACTACACAAATGTGACTTTATTAGCAAGTAATCGCATTATAGTCACAAAATAATTTATTTTTGACATCTCATCTTAAATGTTTGACTGATTGCATGAGACTATACATGTATGGACAAAACTGCAATTTTGCCTTTGGCAACAGATGAGAATTACACATAATCAGATATTAATTGCTCGGATGGGCCACGATGGGAAGTAGTTAGTATGTCCTGTAACTGGTGGGTTGCCGGTTCAAACCTGCACTCCATCCATTTCAGTCGTTATGTCTTTGGGTAAGATAATGCACCCACCTTGCCTGCTGGTGGTGGTCAGAGGGCCTGGTGGCGATGGTTTATGGCAGCCTCACATCTGTCAGTGTGTCCCTGGGCAGCTGTGGCTACAATGTAGCTTACCACCATCAGTGTGTGTAGCTTGATAATAAATGTTACTTAACTGTATTCGGTGTTTGTGCATTAAGATAAACCCTATGTGCTAAAAAACAACAAGCATGGTTTTGAGAATGCTGTTCATTGGGAAAGTTTGCTTAAATAGATTGACTAAAAGAATAAATTACCAAAATAAAAGTAGAGTCCGACAGTATACTGTGACAGCTGACATCATCTCTGTTTTCTTCTAGCTGATTATAGGGCTCTGCTGAGGTTCAGATGTACTGCATGAGCTTGAGATTACCCATGAACACTTGTGAACAAACAGAGCAAAGTGTTTAATTAAGTCCCACACAGTCCCTGGAATACAATCAATCAAATAAAATAATAATAATAACACCTGTGTGGGTGAACTGTGGCCGTGTTGGAGATCAAGATGAAAATAATCAGAGGAAAACCTTTCAAAACAAATCACAATTTATATTCTGTGAATGTGCAAAATTTGTACTGCCAGAGGAGGTTGGTCTTTAAACATTTTTTTAACCGCAAATGGATTTCCTGTAGCCTTGAGATGCTTTTGAGCAAAATGTGGCATGAAAAAAATTACTCATCCAGAAAGAAAACAACTTTCAGAAAAACCAAGGGCTAGGATGACTAATGTTTCATCTTTTGCTCTACCCGCTCTCATATTCATATTTAAATGTATTTATTTACTTTCTATCAAAGACTAAAACGTCTGAACTCAGCAACATACTCTAAAATCTCTTCCACCTGTTGAATTCTGGTGTTAAACTCTGACAAAAATCCAATCTCTTATCTGAACCAAACACCTCACAGCTCAGCTCCAACACTTTGTTTATCCCAGTATCTCCCGATTAGCTGAAGTGATCTGTTGCCCTTAAACTGCAGCTCCAGCCTCTGATCTCTCTTTACTGATTCCACTATTAAGCTTCCAGTTGCTGTTTACCTGCACATTTCTGCACATAAAACATTATTCTAATAATTATCACTAGCTGCAAAAGAGGCAAGCAATCATAGCCTGTCTGGTTGTGCATGTTTGTGTTTGCTTGCTTGTTCATCTGTTAGTAAAATATCATACAGTATATCATGTACAACTAAATGGATTTTAATGAAAATCTCAGAAAGTAATCATTTGGATGTCAATAATCATTGTTTGGAGTCAATCTGATTAAAGATCTGCTAAATAAGTGAAAAAAAACTCAAAAATTACTATACTGCAGTACATTTTACACTCATTGTGCTAATTGGGCCTCAAGCAAGAACATGTTCATATTCTTATCCTAAATTTCTCTTACTTTTGTTCGTACGAAGGGTTCGTACGATCATGCCACGTCACATTCAACAAACTCTTCTATCTTCAGGAAAAGTGTGTAAATGAGCGTAAATTCCACCTGTTCTATCCAGCTGCTCGTGCACGCGAGAGGAGATTAGCATAATTACCAC